TGAGAACCACTCCTTTTGCCTAATTGAAAAAATACTGATTCGACTTGTAGCTAAGTTAAGGAGAAAAGGTTCCTTCGAAAACCATAGCGCTGTCGATCAGACTGTTTTTCGCGTATGCAATGCGGTGTAATCCAATTTAATCAAATTCGTCTGTTTGGTAAACTCCCTTTGCAGACCTTAACTCAGGTGCATGTGTGAGCTATTCACTTTATTGCGCTTTTTCACGTATACCAAAGTATACATGCGAACCTCGCTTTTACCTGATTCTCAACTGAAAATTCTTGTTTTTTTCTCGTTCGTTTTCCTTAGTTCCATAGCCATAGCTTTTGCCAGTAATTTAGTGGTAAAGAATCCCAGGATTGTTTTGATTTTTTATTGGTAAAGACTTAGATTTAACATGCATCGAGTCCAAGTGTTTTTTTTAAGGAAGTGCAGACGCCCTTATTTAATTCAAATTTGGCCGTCTGGTACGCGTATGTTGTTAGAAGCCGGCCGTGATATTCTTGACTTTTTAGATCGATCACTGAGTTATTAAGCCGCTTTGTCACGAAGAATATTCCAACTCATTTGCTTTCATTCGCCGGTCAATAAAATTCATTCTTTTTTCAACTTATTCTTTGTGAGTTTATGAAAAAAGAAATCTTAGGCTAGCAATAGTCAATTCCAATAAAATCAGGATTAAAGAAAAAAATTATTGTCCTCAGCTTCCTCTTGCTTAGCAAGAAGTGGACTACATCGATTTTAAAACTGTATTAGAAATTGATGTGTTAGCTGTGTGTTTCGTTGTTACCAAGCTTGTGTTATAGACTTCGCAGACAGTTAGATTCAAAGGACAGCATTAAACTCTTTAAAACACGACCTTACTTCAATATCATTCTAGCATGGCTGAACAAAACTAAAAAGGTGTTTTGAATATCTGTGGTTAAAAGCACTCGCGACACTTTGATAGTTTTAGCTATGATTCGGAACAATATCGGCTTTGGAGTCACACCCTCGTGGAATGATCTATTGTAAATCCGTTCGCTGAGATCGAGTGCTTTTCTCACGCAGGAAAAGATTACTGTACTTAACAAGTGTTAAAAAACAGTTTATGCTCACGGTAATTCCGCAAAGAACGGAACCCTTTAAGGTATTAGGCGTATGGAATTGCGTTCATTATTGTTGCTGTTCTTCTCAGGGCGACATGAAGTAGCTAATACCTGTGTAAAGCTGAGACGCGGTCTTTATCTATAAAACCAGCTTGTCTCATGTACTGTCTGAACTGCTTTTTTGAGAGGTCTCGCTTAAAGAAACAAAAGCTATTGGATTTCAGGATATCCACGCATGTTGTCTGTATTTCAATCGTTCTTGTTTGCCAGAGGTCGCTCAATATGATTTAAAATTCCATTGTGGCTAATTAGACGTTTAAAATGACACTCGACGGCTCTCAAATTTGTGATCCTTTTCTCGACTATGCCTAAAATCTAAACATATCTTGGTAAGCAAGCACTCCAAGTCAATTAAATATGTCGCCAGCAAGCTCTAAACCGTAAAAAGCTATTTAGAATAAACGTTTTCAAATGAGTCCAAGAGGCTTTGCAATCGGCGAAAAAAAAAGCTCTTAAATGATTTCGACTTCTACTCACAATAATTTGGACAGTGAACATTTTTACTGAAGAAAACGTCAAATTGAAATGCTGGGTTTCATGGCAAAAAGAAAAAGGAGAACTTCTCTAAACTAGTTTCTTCAATATCAGAAATGTTAGATTATTATTAATGACCCTGTTTTCGTTCTGTACCACGTCGAAATTTGGGTTACAATGTTTTTCTTTAGCTCTGATTCTGCCATTGCATTACTTAACCCCGAGCCAGGTATATAAAGTTATCATCAGGTACGTCAGGTAATCATCTCTGCTTTGTTCTAAGCGGCTGACCGTAGAAATCGAATTTGGAATAATTTGGAACGAGCCTACTTTTTGAGTAATGATCTTTGCACATCACCTTCTTTAGGGCCTTCTGAGGAGTACTGAAGTGAATTCTAAGCACTTTGAGAGATATTTTACGCCTTGAACTGTTAAGAAATCAGCGATGGAAAGCAAAATGGAAATATCAGTGTATTTTGTATTAAATTTCAGCAGGTTGCAGGCGACTTTGTTGAACTTTGAAATGGGAACCTTGAACTGTTTTATGCCGTTTACCGGCGAGGAATGTTCAGAAAACCTTCTTCCCCAGTCCTTTACATGCGCACACGCATAGTTTCAAGAAATAATCAGTTTACATTTTCTTGAGCAATTTCCAAGAGCGCAAATTTCTGTGCGCCTGTGGAAAAAAAGATATGTTTCTACCCGGCAAGGATTTCTCAAGTTACTTAAAAGAAATTATAAGACCATTGATGTCATCGATTCATGGATTTTTTAAGCACAATTGCGTGGTTAATTCATTGCACGCGAGCACTTAGCTAATCTCGTTGCTGATAGATACAAATTATTTTTGGCATAGTCAACTATCACTGTAGGAAGAATCTTTTTCCGAGCTTGGGGACTGTAGACTAACTCAACCCCTAGAAGGGAAAAATTTTCCATAACTAAAAATATCGTTTGCCAATTGAGACTGGAACAAAGAAGTTATTTTCTTTCCAATAAATTCAACTTGGGATTAAACTGGAGATGCGAAGATAACATTGAATGAGGCACGAGCAATATTTAATGTAAGTGCATTGTTCAACAATTGTTTCGTTTATGATAATAAAGTAATATTTCCCAGTGGACCTGACTTAACCAGAAATTTGTTTGTTATCTACTTCACACTGAGTAAATATACATCGTTATACTCCACTGCAATCAACAACAACAGAGGTTTTTACTACCTAAACTGTTTGGCTATTCCAAGGCTTAAAAAATAAACTGAATAAAGTCATCTCTTGAAATATTCAGCCAAATACACCCCTAAATACCAACAAAAATTAAAAGTTGGAATTCCTAGAGGTTTCATGAAGGATCAGGCAAATCTCAAATGGCCACTCGACGATCTTCAATCGAGAAGTATGTATTTTTTATTTTTTTTATTTTTTAGCCTCTACATGGCCTTGATTTGTTTATCGATCGCTGTCGTTCAGTTTTTTTTTTAATCAACGGCTCATTTGACACTTTATTCATTACTGCAATACCAGCTAGGTAATTTGCAGAATTTAACTCTTCTTTCATACCGCTGAGCCAAAAGGAAGAATCAAGTCTATCCACCATTTACCTGAGATTTGTTGCCAAAAAAAAAAGTTAAGAGAGCTTTCACAATTTCACTTGTCGGTGTTTCGGCTCAATAGGAAAGTGCAAACTGATCGATGGTAGTTTTGCCTTAGCAAAGCCAATTTTCCTGAGTGTCACATGATCCCTTCTGATCAAGATGTCTCTCAACTTTGTTACTAACTTGTCTTTGGAGAGTCTTTTTTCGGTTCAATATTGATTGAGGAAGACGCTATCTACTTTTACTTAAAAGCTGTACTCAGTTGACTGATAATGAGTGAAAACACCAGAAAATTGACGACAGCGAGTCTCAATTACGGAAGGAATTTCAAGAACATATTCTATCTATCTGATAGCACAGCGACTGTTTTGATTTTCGCCCAAAATTGTTTCTCCGATCAGATGATTCCGATAAGATTTGTAATGACGGAAATTGCCTAATTTCATAGACGCATCTAGGAAGATAACTGCTTTTCCAGTTAGCGGCACGTCTCCGATCATTTTACTATATAAACAGTAATTTCCTCGGTTAAATAACAATGTTTACTAATTTGGCCCTTCATAGCCTCACAAATTCTTGCAGCTTTGCGGTCAAACTTCCTACGGGTTCTTCTTCATTTCCGAGAGGACAGCTTTGTTAAGACTAAATTCTCAGCTCCCAAATTGAATGAGAAGAGTGAAACTGAAATGTACAGCAATAGCCAGGAGAATTTGATGTTGATCTTAACTTGAGTAGCGACAGAGTTTTGATCTTATAGCGGGTTTCCTTTCGAAATGTAGCCTAATGGAGCACAGAGTCAAAACAAGATAACAAGATATTCCAGGTCCTCTATCAAATTTTAACCTTGATAATTTGTAAGGATTTCGTAATAAAGTAAGCGCTTGCAGTAAAAAAATGGATATATGTTATTATTATAACAAACTTCCATGCACTGTTTGTCTTAGAAAACTGGCCCTCTAAATTTGTTCTCGTGTTTAAGATTAATTGTTCCATTTTTGCGGTAATGTAGCGGCTCAGTTCTTTTTAAAAGCCATCTGATATTGGCTGAGTATCAAATATTGCGGAATATGACCGTATGTAAACAGTATACTTTTCCAACTTGTTCATAAAGGGCATTTTTGTTTTAACTAATTATTTATTAAACCCAGTCAGTTGACGGTTCAGAGTTAAGTTCTGATTTTTTATCACAGGTACTGAACCAGCTAGAGTTATGCAACTCTTCTTTACACCCTGACTGGAGACTGTAAAAATAAATTACGCAAACTCGCTTAAATAAACTTCACAGGCACGCTATCAAACGAACGTGAATACCTTTCAGAGATACGACCTGATAAATATCAAAATATAAAATTTCGAGTAGTATTGTCAGTAAGCCAAAATCTTATATACAAACTGCTATGCACTGACGTTTGGTTTATAAGTATTTAACAGGAAAGGAATTTCTGTAGACCGCGGTGTACAAGCGAAAGATTATCCCAGTTCTCGGTAGCTGCTAATCCTTGTCTCATCTTGATATTCTCTAAAGAACTGTTTTTGTTTTGGGATTATCATGACTGCAGATTTTTGTAGTTCCAGCAATGCTTTTGAAGCAAACTTTTAAGGTAAAGCAAAGAAAAATCACCATCGTAGCATTTAATACAACCGCTTGCGGGAAAAATTCCCAGAGACATGTAACGCGAAAGATCAATTTAATTGAAGAATCGTAAGCGATGGAGGTTTAGATTTGTCTCAAATAAAAAATAATAAAAAAAACTCCTTAATCAGACAGATTTTTTTTGCTATATATTTTTATTTCTCTTGTTTATCATTTTACAGTACCTTGTAACGTAAATAACGAGTGTGTTTTGAAAATGTCTCCAGTGTGTGTTTGAATTTTTGGTTTTGTTATGTCGCAATTTGCTTATGCATCGACATGTAGACATCTTGCTACAAATATGTTTTCAATCTGGTTCTCTCTTGGTTTTAAGACCTTTTAAGTTGTTCGCTGTTTTGTTTACTTTTTCTTTTGGCAACCCATTATAGATAACTCGTGAACAACCATTTGATCATAAAATATTTTGTCAACTTGACTGGAGTGAGCACCGTGTTGTGGAAGCTAATTATCAGGTGAATAACATCCCATTGCACTAAGGCTCTTAAAAACACTAGTGCCTTGATGACAACCAGTTGGCCGCATACAAAACCGAAATCTCTTTGACTGCCACTACTCCTACACATTAAATATAAACCAGAGACGACGAATAAGAGACAATTTATCTCTGATTTCTGTTTTGAAATATAATGTTGGCTTGGCAATCAGTACAGAAGCGAAAACTTCAATAAATTTGATTTGATTGACATGAATTGCCCAACTGCGACTCGGCTTAAAAATCTAAATAATGGGTTTAATTTCGATAATTCAATTTTTGGTAGATGACGCTTTTTCTGATCGAGATCAGTTTAAATGGCAAGTGCTCGTTGGAGAAAATCGATTTCCTTGACATCAGTGTCTTAAAAGTTATACTTTCAATCTCAAATTTTAGGCCTCTAAAAGAAATGTATTATTTGAACATTTCCAATTGTACCTTAGCTGTTCATTGTCTCTCAGAGGGAACTCCACAGTTCTACTTTTTCAAGCTAACATGACAGTCATCGATCACTGAGGAGACTCTCGATACTAAACTTCAAACCACAAGTTGAAGAGCCGTCGTATTTTGCACCCTTAGCCATAGTTTGTTTGTCAGGGAAGGCCGAGTGTCTTTGGTTTTGCAGCTGTGAAAAACAACGGGGTTGTTCGAACGAACTTTCACCACAAAGTTCGTTGTCAGAAGTCTCTAATTTCTTGTCTTCCCTGTCGCGATCGTTACACGAACTTTCGCTGCTGGTTTTCTCGTTTTGCTCTTCTGTCTCTCCGACGTTATCTTCTCCAAGAGAAATGGGGCAAGTCTCTTCTTCTGGCTGTCTAGCATTTATTATTTGTTTCGGCCTTCGTTTTCGCCTCCAAAATCGCCCCTCTTCAAACATCTCCTCAAATGACGAATCCAGAGTCCAGTAGCAGCCTTTTCCAGGGTCCGATTTGTCGCGGGGAACTTTCACAAAGCACTTGTTCAGCGAAAGATTGTGCCTAATACTATTTTGCCAACCTCTTCTGCTCTGCTGATAGTAAGGAAAGTTCATCATAATAAATTGATAAATCCCGCTTAGTGTAACTTTTTTCTCGGGCGAGCTCTTTATAGCCATGGATATGAGAGCAACGTAAGAGTATGGTGGTTTGGGGAGCATTTCTGCGCAGCCATAAAACCCAAATCCTGAACCATAACTCGAGTAGCAGCAACTTGAATTGTAATAGCAACAAGAACACAGGCCTTCGATCCCTTGTTGTCGAAATCTCTGCGTTGGTAGAGAGAGCTGTGTGTACGGAGAAAATCTCATTGTGGCGAACGTACTATACATGTTGAATTGTGGCCGATAAGCGATGGGCAAACCGCTTATAAAGCCTGTGTTGGCAGTCAACGTAACGCCAATGCTCTCTGTGGTATTCTCAGCCAACTTCAAAGCGGATATGGGTCTGGGAACGCCTTGGACCACCCAAGCTTGGATTGATTGTCTTCGGACTGGTTTCTCACTGTTTGTTTACAGTACAAGTTTAAGTGTTTTCAAGACCACACAGCAAAGTATGACTATTGTTTTAAACATGGACGGCAGTTTGAGCTTGGATTAGCGAATTTCTGATTATTTTACTCGAATTCCAGCAACTGATGGTGCTTAGAGTTTCATTTCAAAAGGAAGGAGTTAGATAAAACAAATAACTGACATGCGATAACCCTCGACGTTCCGAACAGAAAAGACGAAACTAATGCGCGTTTGGGAGCGATCATCTGTTCGATCGAAAATCCATTGCTCCATTATCTGTCGCCTGCAGATGGATAAATATTTACACGGGAAGTTTGTTTTAAGTCATTTGTAAGCATTTAAAGTCTTTGTTTAGTTTGGCGCCATCAAAAATGTAAACTATAATAAATCTTCTTAGGGCAATCACCATATCTATGTCCAACCGTGTGAAGATTTTAACATTTTTATTACGCAACAAAATACCACAATCTTTTTTTCCTGCAATTGTCTTTTTCGCTCTGGTCAGATTCTTTCAGTAGAAATGAGAAGTAAGGAAATGAAATCGTCAATTAAATTAGCCCAATTTACCATACAGTGATCTGTCTGATAGCATCTGTGGCCGTACGTGGCGCCGCGAAGTATGCTAAAATAGAGACATTTTAAGATGGTCACAAAGGTTCAGGCCTATGTTAGATGAGATTAGAATATTGCTATTTGTATGAGTTTAGGATCTTATTTAAGCTTTGATTATGATCCTGATAAGTCGGAAGTGAATATAGCTTCTCAAGGCGAGCTGAGTGTAGATTGCCAATGTTCTGGTTCTCGTCTTTCAAAAGATTTTTTGCCTGTTATTTGGTAGTCAGGTCTTACAAAAAAATAACATGACGTTTGTTTTTTCAACCGGATTGGATTGAAAACCGAAGAAAAGAGGACCGCGAGAGCGTGGTTGAGTTAAAAAAATCGCCTTCGCTGAAAAGTAAAAACGCGCCGGTGCAAGTCTTCAATAAACACGTTACGAAATCTTGCCTCGGATCTGAAGAAACACAAAATTGAAAAGCTCATAATTATTCATTTCTGTCGAGTTGAACAGCTTTTTCGTGCCGATAATTTAGAAATTTGTTTTCATAAACTCGATTTTCTTTTTCGAGGTCACGGAAAAACGCGACCTTTTCAAAGTCAAGTGTTTTAATTAAACAATAAATAAACTGTCGGCAACTTTGGTTTGTGTTCGGTGAGGACAGCTTTTATTGAGCTTAACAGATCGGAGGACTTCAAACGACCTTTTTGCGCCATAAATAGGATTGATTGGATCTGGTGAAGAATAATTAATTGTAAGAGAGTGAGCAATGATCGTTGAGTTTGTTTTGATTTCTTAATGTCTTCAAAACGTGTTTGAACGTGTGAAAGATGATCTACCGCTTGACACCTTTTTCTACGGGCGAGTGACTTGACACTTCAATTATAAGAGGAAGAAATTGTTCTCTCTAAATTTCCGCAGTTGTATTTCTCCATTAATTCGTTACTCAAATTTTGTGATCTTTTGTGCAAATTTTAATAATCCTGTAATAAATTTTTCAATTAATGGGTGCACTTAGCTGAATCTTAATATTGTTTGAGAATTAAGGCCACCAGAAGTATCCTCAGAAAGGCCCATCTCGTGTGCTGCACACCAAGAAACGGCCCTTTTTTTGGCCTCTTCCAGGCCCTCAGTTAGTGCGGGCGAGTTAAACAACGAGTAAATTACAACCAGCGAAATCAGGGAAACGACTGCGGTTTTTGTCTTTGCTTGATCCCAGCATTTTCCTCGAACCCGTTTTTCCGCTCGTCTAATTGACCGATAACCTGGCACACGCTGTCCCCTTCGAGTTACATGAGTGTAGAAAAAGAGAAAACACTGGGAGAGACTTGCGAAGCTCGTGCGTTAATCCACGCGATTCTGTCGGAATTCACTCTCTTTCCTCATGCGCCTCGCGATCGGGCCGTTGGTAAAAAAGGGCACGTTCCCAGTTGCAGTCCATTCATACCTTTTTATAGAGTAAGGGAGAGGAAAATGATACCTTTATCTTGAAATGGCTGACATGAAAAATCGTTGTGTCGTCCTCAAGCTGAAACAGAGCGATACCAAGGCTATCGTCGCTCCGACGAAGGGCTAACGCTCGAAACAGCTTTTGAAATCGTTACGGTGGCCAATTTTCCATTTCAACTTTGTTGATATATCCAGATTATAAAGGAGGTAAGTATTGTTTTTTACGCACGTTCGGAGGCTGTGCATACGCAATGCCAGCCTCCTGTGCATCAAAGAAGAGAAAGAATGGCTATACTGTACAACACTGAGAACGATCAACAAGTTTTTGGTAAAGAGAAGTTCTTTTGTGACCAACATCTGCTCAGTTGAAGGCTGCCACTCACTTTTTGGAATTTCCAAGACCTGACGCTTAGGGCGTCCGCTGTAGTTAACTTGCATTTTTAGTTCTTGGCTCACTTTCTTGTCCCCACTCGGCAAGAAATTCCTATCTTTATCCACGTGTTTTTGGCTTGGTCTGTCTTTCTCCTGATGCGGAAAGGACAAACTATCAGCGAGCCCCCATCACGATCATTAAATCTCAATTACAACAGTTTGTAACATGGACTACATACCCTCTAAAAGGTTTCACTTTGACACGTTTTTCTAATCGGTTATCCTCAAGAGATTATAAACTGATCTCTTGGTTTTTCTGCAGTTCTTCACTTCTTGGTGGCTGATCTCGAGGCAGCGTTCCAATGTTATCAACTCAGCGCCTATCACAGGCCACTTGGAAAAGGAATACATCGGTAGGCGGGAAAGAAATGGCTAAAGGCTTATTAGGGGATGCGGAAGTCAGGGAAAGGGTAGAAACATGGAAAAAACTGAGTTTGACGGAAAACAAAATTATCTATAAAGTTAGGAAAAAGAGAAATGTTAAATAGGAAAGATGAAAAATTGTGGTCCATGATCTTTTACTCTGTCTACTTTTGCTCAACTGCTTGGTCAACCCTGCCTTAGCCGTTTTGCCAGTTTGGCCACCAGTGGCAGATTTGCCAGTTTGGCCACCAGTGGTAGATTTGCCAGTTTGGCTACTAGTGGCAGATTTGCCATTTAGGCCACTAGTGGCAAATTTGCCATTTTGGCCATTACTGCCCCATTTGCCATTTTAGCCACAATTGGCGCATTTGCCATTCTGGTCACTAGTGGCCGATTTTCCATTTTGGCCACTAATTGCCGATGCAAAATTTTGGCCACTAGTGGCCAATTTCCTATTTTGGCTACATATGGCTGATCTGCTATTCTGGCCACTAGTGGCCGACTTTCCATTTTTGCCACTGTGTGTCCGATCTGCGTTTTGGCCACTGGTGACTGATTTGCGTTTTGGCCACTCATGAGTGGTCGATGTGCCATTTTGGTCATGTACCATTTTGGCCACAAGTAGCAAATTCGCCATTTTAGCCACTAGTAACCGAATGTCATTTTAGGCACCGCTAGCCGATCTGATTTTTGGCCACTAGTGGCCGATTTTCCATTTGGGCCACAAATGGCCGATTTGCCATTTTAGCCACTAAGGGCAGATTCGCCATTTTGGCCACCAGTGAACGATTTGCCATATATTATTGGTCATCAGTGGCAGATTTAAAATTTTGGCCACTGGTGGCAGATTTCCCACTGTGGCCTCTTGGGGACAATTTACCACTTTCGCCACTAGTGGCCGATGTGCCATTTTGGCCACTCGTGGCCGAGTTTCCATTAATATTTGGGCCATTAATGGCATCTTTGCCTTTTTGGCCACTAAGGGCAGATTCACCATTTTAACCACTAGTGACCGATTTGGTTATATATTATTAGCCATTAGTGGCGGGTTTGAAAGTTGCCACTTTGACAATTTGCCACTTTGGCCACTAGTGGCCGATGTGCCATTTTGGCCACTAGTGACCAATGTGCCCTTTTAGCCACTAGTGGCAGATTTCCAATTTTGGCCACTAGTGGTATATTTGTCATTTTGGCCAGTACTGGCCGATTTTCCAATTTGGCGAGTAGTAGCCGATTTGCCATTTTGGCCACCAGTGGCCGATACGCCAGTTTGGCCATTAGTGACAGATTTCGATTTGGCCCACTGGTGGCAGATTCGTCATATTGGCCACTAGTGGCCAAAGTCTCACTTTGGCCGCTATTCCCCGATTTGCGATTTTCGCCACAAGTGGCCAATTTGCCACCTTGGCCACATGTGGCCGACTTGCGATTTTGGCCACAAGTTGCAGATTTGCCATGTTGGCCACTAATAGCAGATTTGATATTTTGGCCACTAGTTTGGACGATTTGCCATTTTTGGCCACTAGTGGCACATTGCAATTTTGACCACTAGTAGCCGATATGTTATATTGGCCACTAATATTAAATTTGCAAATTTGGCCACTAGTGGCAGATTTGCCATTTTGTCCACTAGTGGCAGATTTGCCATTTTTTCCACCAGTGGCAGATTTGAGATCTTGTCCAGTAGTGGAAGATTTTCCATTTTGTCCAGTAGTAGCAGATTTGCCATTTTGTCCAGTAGTGGCAGATTTTCCATTTTGTTTGTTAGTGGCAAACTTGCTAATTTATGCAGTAGTGACAGATTTGCCATTTTTTTTCACTAGTGGAAGATTTGCGATTTGCCAACTTGGCAGTAGTGGACGATATGCCATTTAGGCTACTATAGTGTTTTCGTGAAATTAGCAGCCTCCACGAGAAGTCGTTTGCTCAAGTTTTCTTTATTTAAAATATATTCTTTTTACCGGAAAAAATCTTAAACGAAATGAATAAGTACTGATACCTGAAATTAACCGGAAAGAATTGTCTCAAGGAGAAAGTCAAAAAAGTAAACAAGTGAGCTAAATAATTAAACTCAACCCGGATTTACTTAATAAGGCGGAGTCCGTTCGATTCGCTACCAATACCTTTTTTAGTACCTCAACATAATATAGAAGACTATCCCATTGAATGCATAATTAGTTGATTATATATGTGTTGGCTCTTAAGAGATAAAAAAAATAAAAAATGAAAAAAAAGAGAATAAAACGTGAGCAAATGACTTGTCGTGGAGGTTGTTGATTTCACGAAAACAATATGGCGTCGGGTGTCGATCGATTTCTAAATTAATATAAAGTGTTCTGATCTTTGGCAAGTTAAAAATGATAAAGCTAAGCGACAACTCGTAAACACAGATTTTTTTATACTGTTTCGGCTATGTAGAAGTAGATTCATCAGAGTCAAGTTAGTAGAAGCGGACTTAGTATGAAAGCTAGTGTGAAAGTTGTTTGGTTGCGAATGGATCTTCGCCCTGATCGATCGCATCGTGAAATGATCGCTCAAGATATACTCTAAAGTGCTACAGAAATTTTCTTTAAAAAATCGTTTTGGCTTTTTACTAAGTTTCATTGATGTTTTCTGTTGATCATTTCCAGTGGTAGCGATCGGACTTCGTCATGGTAACGATAAGACTGTAGTAGGTAGCGATGAGACTGTGGTTGGTAGCGAGGAGACTGTGGTTGGTAGCGAGGAGACTGTGGTTGGTAGCGATGAGACTGTGGTTGGTAGCGATCAGACTGTGGTTGGTAGCGATGAGACTGTGGTTGGTAGCCTGGTAGCGAAAGTACTTGGTAGCGACCGGACCGTAATTCGTGGCCGATGTGCCATTTTGGCCAGTAGTGGTTGATTTGCGATTCTGGCTACTAGTGGCAGATTTGCCATTTTGGCCAGTAGTGGCCGATTTTCCACTTTGGCCACTAGTGGCCGATTTGCTATGTTGGCCACTAGTGGCAGATTATAAAGTTTGGCCACTAGTGGCCAATTTGCCATTTTTGCCACAAGTGATCGATCTGCCATTTTGGCCACTACTAGCCGATTTTCCATTTTGGCCACTGGTGGTCGATGTGCCATTTTGGCTGGTAGTGGCCGATTTGTGATTTTTGCCACTGGTGGGGGTGTGGACAAAACCTGGCCTAGGTCATGGCCTACCCTGTGGCCTACCCTATGGCCTACCCTGTGGCCTACCCTATGGCCTACCCTGTGGCCTACCCTGTGGCCTACCCTGTGGCCTACTCTGTGGCCTACCCTGTGTCCTACCCTGTGGCCTACCCTATGGCCTACCGGTGGTGAGATTTTTAAAAGGATAGCATTGCTGGAAACCTTTCAACGTTTTCCTGAGTACTGTCTTACCAACGACTTTCTTCTGCTGTTTTGGCGGCCACATCCGATCAAAATTTTTTAACCTTCTGATAGAATAAGGAAATCGAGGAACAGAAGCCGGTTAAACGCAACTTTTGGGCAAACATCATCATATCAGCTCTCCTTTCAAATTAGTGCAATACTGGCCCTTTCTTTGGAAAAGCAAGTAAAGTTGCGAAATGTTTACGACGGCGATGCGTGCGTGTCCCGGGGTGCTCGTTGCAAATTCAATACTCTACAGCACTTGAGGGCACTTGAAAAATTGGCTTGGCACGTAATTTTTGCGTTTTCTTACCTGGATATGTATGCTCTCCAATATAACGCCGTTCATTACATTTTTACACCAGCACTCCACTATATGTTACCCCCAACTGACAGCCTGCATCATAAAGCCGCCGTTTTGTTTATCCTCTGCGACCACGCAATATTGGCCCCTCCTCTCCCCTCCCCCTTAACCTACCGTTATGGTTGAGTGCTGTGATATTTGCAGTGTTTCGTTCCCTCGGACGTTGAAAATCGTGTTAGCGACCTCTTAGTATACCTTTTTCAGAGACAGATAATGGTACACCAGCGTAATCGTTCGACTCTTACTGAAATTATTTTTATGTTCTTAAAAATCTGACCACCGGTAGGCCATAGGGTGCGCCACAGGGTAGGCCACGGGGTAGGCCACGCCACAGGGTAGGCCACAGGGTAGGCCACAGGGTAGGCCATGGCCTGGGCCAGGTTTTGTCCACACCCCACTTGTGGCCGATTTGCCATTTTGGCTAGTAGTGGCCGATTTTTCATTTTGGTCACTGTTGGCTGATTTTCGATTTTGGCCGCTGGTGGCCGATTTGCGATTTTGGCTTCTAGTGGCCGATTTTCCCTTTTGACTAATATTCCAAGTTTGTTCTGTTCGGCGGATGAACCAAGAGAAATTCAGCGAAAGTACGCATTCCTTTTCCTTTCAGGCTCTTTCAGTATGGAAATTTCGTTAGACACTGGTTGTAATTCTCTAATTGTGTGAATTAGAGCACAGAGCTTTTAAAAATATAGCTTTATTTATGAGGAACCGGACCCCAGGCGTTTATCCGACCTACATACGCGGTTTGCCCTGGGGCCTGTTGACAGTTTTTCAGAGAGAGTATATTTTGTGTAGGGTTACATGACAGATGTTTAGGCAGTGACATTATGGCGGCTCTTTCGAGGTGTACGGTGAGAAGCTTGAAGACAAAACGTTGCTTGATCTCGAGTTTAGGAGGTTCACATTTACCAAAACGCTCTCGAGAGGTTACGTTAGTGCTATCCCTGGGAAGGTGTGTGTCTCCTTTCTTCTACGATTGTTGATATTAGCGAAATGGGGCGATGATGCTGGATTATGTAATCACTGGGGTGTGTAGGACAAGATGCACATTTCATTTCGTGTGTTCTTTAAATTCCGTCTCTGTTATATCTCGAAATTTTCTGGCCTCGTAGACCCTTCGTATTGAGTTTACGTGGCTTAATTATAGGCAATCCCCATTCTGGTAATTCTCATCTTAGGGAGATATCTTACATAGGCTTACTAGAAGCACGAGCCTAGATTAATTGTGACCGAAAATTTCTTAAATTTTGCCTGATGGTAGAAGTTTTGTTTGGGAAGATAATGTTTTATTTATAGCTAATACCCACCCCACTTCTGTTGTTATCTGGATATTTCCTTTAGGTCTGACTATATTTCTCAAGTTTGTTGAATTTCTTTTTTGTACGACTTAACTTCTAACATGTTGTTTGGCGTTCTCTTGCAGCCTACAAGTGGCACAAAGGACATATTGTAGCCCCGTTAAGGAAACGTCTGAGGAAGATTTAAAAAACAGACCAATACGTTTTTCTACCTCGAGAGCACGGAGTATGACAGTTGGTCAAACGCTGGGAGAAAGAAAAAAGAGCACATCTATGGTCACGGTCTATGTGAGTCTCACAATCATGGTCATATTGACTTACATTATTTTCTTCTTGCCACCCAATAAACAAGATGAAGAAGCATTGGATATTCTAAATTCCAGCATGGTGGCAAATGAGCAGGACAAAGGACAATGATGTGGGAGGACACCTGTTTCAAAAAGTGTTCTTTTGGCTCTGGAAATATATATTTGGCATATAAATTCACTTTCTGAGAATTCCATTCCAATGTTTCTTTTTCAGATGGTCTGGAAAGGAAGTCATTATTAACCCTTACCAGACTTGAAATGTTGCTATGGATCATGTAAGCCAGCAGGACGTTTGAGAATTTATATAATTTGGAACAATAGACAAATTTGAAATTTGTTGTTTAAGGAAGAAGTTTTCTTGTCTCTCACAACTGATGTAATTAATACATTTTGTGGTTAGCCAGTGTTGAGGATTTAGTTTTACATTTGTGTGCCACTTCTAGGTGATGGTTGTCTGAATTTTCTCTATCTGTGTTGATCAGCTAAAGAAAGGCTTACTGAAAGAAACCAAACACACCTGAGTGGGCTGGATGGTTCAAGCTCAGATTTCATAGTGATTAAAAATGTGCTATCAAACCTGGTTTAACCCTGAAACTTCCAGAAGTGTTTAACATGTAACTTCTCCCCTTAATATCCTTACATTATCCTACAGATAGGTTATGAGAATACTCACACTTATCAGGTAGAAGTTGTTTTCTTGATCTAACAACAAATTCTCGCAACTAATCTACAAGAAATGTGCAGTGGCTAGAGAGGAGAATGAAATATCAGATCTTGAGACTTGTAGGGTTAACTCACCAAGAAAATAATAATATTCCACTCCTAATTTAATAAAATAACAAAGCGGTATAGTTACTAAAGTTAAATTTTTACTGAAAGGACTTAAAACTTTGCATTCCCACTCTTGTAAAATTGTTAACAGTACATCAAATATGATTTTCTGATGAACTGTAGACAATCCTATTTGAAACCCTAGGCTCTAATTTTGTCTTTTATAATTTGTTCTTCAGATGAATTTGAAAACATTGTTCTAGCATTGTTCTTTCAGTTATAAGATTGTTTTCCAGAACACAATTATGTATGCAGAACAGAAACATCTTAAAAGATATTACTGAACCCTTTCGCTACCAGAAGCAATTAACTTATAACTTCTCCCAAAATTCTTAACATGTTAGCAATTAAACAGGTAAAGAGAATGCTCAAACTTATCGGGTAGAGGTTGTTGTCTTGATCTGACCTCAAATTCCTGTAACTAATTTGCAAGGAAATGTGTAGCAGGTAGAGGGAAGAATTAACAAGCAGATTGTGGGAGGGTAAATTGAGGTGAAGATGTTACTGTAATTGATTGGATAACTTTTCCTTTTGCAAGCTAGGTTGAGTCAGAAAAAAGCGGAAGCAAATCAATAAGACACACAAAAAAAATGAGTGATTAAATGAAGAATGAACAAAGTTATTTGACGCATTAAGATGTCAGTGTTAAGCATGGCAGTTTATTTGGAGGCAACCTCCTAGATTTGGGTTATTTCACAAGGATTTACAACAGGAGCCAAAATGAAACTGATGGGTAGTGCTGGATTTTTACTGAATGCAGGGTCTGAATTAAAATGTGTAACGAGATTAGAATTTACTGCTAATAACAACAATTGACTTTTTTGTACACAACTCAATTATGTATGAATATTTTAATCATCCTCTGATGACAGTGTGTGTTGCAATTTTGAATTACATGTTTAATGCTCAATTATTATTGTTCATTTCCATAGAGGCTTTTGAGCTTTTCAAAGTTGTTCTGAACATATATTTTTTCAAGCTAGAACCATAGCAAACAATGGAGAGAAACTGGAAGATAGACCATGGCTTACAAACATTTTGATTTCAGATTTATTTATCCACATTTCTCAAAAAACGAAACTTGGATCTAAGATGAGATGTTTTATCAATGCTTGTTTAGGAAGTGTGGCGTGACAAAGATCGTAGAGGAGATCATATCGCACCTGGCGTTTAGAAATTTCCCCTTTTTTGGCGTTAGATATCTCTTAATTAGATCAAATCTTTTGAAAATAAATTTTCAATCGTCTTGGATAGATTTTCAACGTTTCTCATATATATGAAATATTGTTTTAACTGGATAATTTATTGATCGATTTTTTGATTCGGAATTTTTCCTAATTAAGCTTGCGTATGCGTCGCTTTAGAACTTAGCACAGACAAAAGCCACGTAAACAGCGGGATGAATTTGTTTACCTTGCGACAAAGCTGATTGGCTGAATATACTGACGTCACGGAAGTGTTCCATTTACGCGCCGCCATTTTGAACATGGTAGTATTTTGGTCGTGTGTGAGTTGTCACAACGCTGTCTTTTTTCGCGGTTTTACTTGAAATATGGAGTTGGCCAGGCAAGTTTTTAGTGGCAGCGATAGAAAATCGACCGAGGGATACAGCATGTACAGTATAAAAGGTAGGTGGGCAAGACTTGTTTGTATTCGGTAACGGTCGTAGCTTCCTTCAAATTCCCAGCGATACCTTTGTTCACTCGATCATATGGAGCGATAAATAAATAATGACTGAGCTTGGTGAAGATCAGAAGATCTTTCCAGGCGTGAAGTATGAATTTTACGAGGCTTATTGGATTAATGATATTATGAAAAACACAGCAAAGGACTTAGAATATTAGAGTGCACAGGGGACTTTCATCCTTATTGACACTCGTTTGACAACTCACAAAGATTTAACCGGACATTCACTGTCGCCAAACGCGCCGTCCGTAATTGTTCTGTTGTACTAGAGTACATTGTACTTTGCCAATAGTGGTTTTCCTCAAAGTTAGATTGTTCTGTTGTTCAACTAATTTGACTTTCACAACAAGGAAGGACATACATGCACGTACAACAGCACCGATATTTATCCCTTATTAAATTAGAACTCTATTAACTGAATGTTCCATTACTGATTGAGAGCTTTTGTACATGAAGGAAGCAATCTGATATTTCACTCACCAATCGAATCATTAAAGGAAAAATATTGTTCAATTTTGCTAAAAAAAACCTCTACACACATTCTCAGCACAATTATCCAACTTTCAGAATCAGTAGATACCAGTTAACTTAGTTAACCATATAATTATTTGTTGAAAAGTCGCAAATGTTTAAAAAGAACTATTCTGCTTCTCTAGTAACTTCTAATTGCCAATGTAAATGTAATATCACACATTCTTAAGCATTGCACTTGACTGCCCAAAATATTGTGACTTGATATTGCCTTTCTTGCGGTATCTTTTTAGAATTTTGCTATAAGTTTAACTGCTGAATGGGTATACTAGATTTCTTTGGGTTTGATAATGTATAAATTTTGCTGTGATCGTTTGTAAATTGTCAATGGAGCTGATACCAGTGCCTTGATAATTTTGCCAATAAGAATGTAGATTAAGTGGAAGCTACACCCACCAAGGGCTGATGCGGTTTACACATGCAGCTGCAGTACAGCTGATAAAAATTATTTGGAATGTTTCTCTTTTATTAAAATATTTGTTATTGTAAAGTAAAGTGTATTACATGTTCAAAAATGTTAGTCAAAGCATTCCTAGTTTGTCTCTCTACAAATTTTGTCTTACTATGTCATAAGATACACAAGGCCCTTATACTTTAATTTGTTGGGAGATCTCTCAACTTATTATATCTCAGGATCAGTATGCAAGTTCCCTTTACTATTACCTATACATTTGCTGTGGTAATTATTAGGAGAATTTGTCTAACAATCAAGATCTTCTTCAGAGGTGATACTGTTGGGAGAAATCAGATGCTCATCAACACTCTCATGGATTAAAGTGTTAAAGTTACAATTGACTGCTACTTAGCCACTCTATAATTCATTCTCTTCCATGTTATTATTGATTAACCTGGTTTTCTCCTGTGTTTTGGCTTTGACTGCAGTACTGTGTTTTGTACAGTTCTTTGTTTGCTGCTCTACAAATAACATGACATAAACGTAATGATGAAAACAAACATTTCCTGCTTTGAATATATGATCTCGACCATCATGGTGATGTGCATTTTATTTTCTACTGCATGCTAATTCTTTCAGACCAACTGAAACAAAAAAGTAAGGCAAATTCCTTATAATATGACTCTCAATCTCAAGCTCTATATATTCAATATTTTTCGTGATGGAAAAGTTAAGAAAAATCAGGTGTACAGATGTAAAAAACAACTTTGAGCACTTAGAACTTCTTAAAACTCTTTGGTCAGAGATTATCATCATTGCAGGTCAAGAGCAGATAAAATGAGGTGTTTTAATTCAATTCTGGTGTTAACAATTACTAAATTTATTAGTTCTTGAGGGAATCACCAAAATTTATCTCAATTGATAATTTTTACATTAAGTAGCGCTGGAACTGGGTTTAATTTTATATACATGTATTACAGAATTTATTGTTTTGTTTTATACCCTTAGGATCTTATTTCAAAGTAAATTTGTGTTTACTTTTTATACTTTTGTAAGTTGCAATGCTGAAGGATACATCTGTTGCTATGGATGAGAATCTTAATATCATTTTCCTTGTGACTGGGTTTTTCTCCATGGCTCCTACAGACATTTCATTTCATTTGTGTACTGAGTTGTTGATCCTTGTAAATGCTAGTGTAAATTGGATGAGTAGCAATTGTCCTAAAATGTTTTCCACCAAGTGTCTTATGGGTATGACTTTATTCTAGTCTTCCATCATATCATGTTATGATTAACATACTGTGAGTTTTAATTTATTCACAATAATTTTCCCTTGGCTTAAGCAGACAAATTCAAATGAAGCCTTACAGTGGCTTTTAATGCTCACTGAATCTTGTTTCTTCACATTGGCAAATCTACAAGATCTGAAAATCCTACTACTGTTGATTGGTATTTTTCATGTTACCCCTATTATTGCAACCATTCAACAAATGCTGTTTTAAGTATGATCTGCTTTACGATACAAATGCAGTGCTTGCTAAAAGACAACGTAAGTAGACATATACAAATCAGGATGAAGTTTTTATAATTTTATTTGAATTACTGGTAACTATTTCATATTCTTGTTAATGATGAGTAATTGTTTTGAAATTTTCTTCTGCAAAAGTAGGAAAATAAATCAGAGACTGAGGTAGTGTTCTATTGTTTTTGGTGATAATTAATATTCAAATGGTAGCTTAACTGAAAAATCCCTGATCTATCTATTTTGATAACTCATAAAGCTTAGGTCTACGAGAAGTATTAAATATAATTTGTCTCAATTTAAAAGTGAATGAATATTCTAAAAAGATAGTGTTTGACTTTATATGTACATGCTGTCAAATCAGAAGATGCATAGGTTATGCGTTGCTTGAAAATTTTGTCACACTTTCATGAGTGAGTAATAATAGAAAGAATTGTTACTAACTTCCTTTTAAGGTTTAACTCCAGCCAGTATATCATGTACTTTGTACATAATTTATTAATCTTTTTTATTGTATTTTATTTGTTTCATTGGTGAATTAGCTCCATTTCAAAATTGCCTGAGTTTTAAATCTTACTTCAGTTTGAGTATTACAGGAGTTCCCAAAAAAAATTATGCTTAAAGGTATTGTTTGCCTGGGTAACGGAAGGTGCATACTGGAATGCTTTTGTTAGGAATATTAATCTTGAGTGCTGGCCACAGTTATGTTCATTGTGTATGTCTCTTTTCAGATGTTTTGGATCATGTTTAATTTCTTTTTTCAGCAAATAGGAATCAAACACAACCATGATCAAAGACTTTTACTGAGATACAGAAAGATCAGAGCAGTGTTTTATGGGAAAGTTCTTTTTGTATCATAATTTATGGTTTCATCTTTCCTTGGCACTTCTTGTTCGATTGTTCTTAATTATATATCATTGAGACATTGACACATTCAAACATGTACGTTTGAATGATTCATTGATATTAAATATAGAAAAGACCACTACAAGGGTTGTTGCTAAGTGCTAGCTGCTAGCAAATTTTGCTGGATGAAAAAGCAGCAACTGCCTGCTGGATTTTTGGCAGGCCATTGCCAGTTTAAGCAAAACAGGCACTTCCAAGGTCACACACTAACAATTGTTCACCACCCTTGAAGCGCCTCACTTGAAATATCAGCCACCAGCATAATTTCTAAACTACAACCCTGCAATACATGGCTGCTTATGGAAACAATTTATTTTCTTTTTTCAGTGCTCTTAGCTCTTTTAAGTGCCAAAGAAGTCCAAATGAAAGGAATTTGTTTCCAAAGATTTTTGTTTTAGTTATTTCAGTTTCAAAGTTACTGTATCTGATCAGGGTATACATTGCTTTTTGTTTTGTCTGCTAGTGTCTCTGTTGTGGTTCAGATTTTACCTCTGGTTTAATTTTTTCAAACCAGTTCAATTTTTGTAAGGCAGTTTTCAATCAACTGTCTGAAAAAGGGCATTCATTTTGTGGGGTGTGGATTGAAAAATGGGGCATGGCTTTTTAGGGGGGAATTCTGAAAAAGAAGTAGATGTCAGATAAAGAAAGAGATTTCTCCATTATCTCTCATCACCGTATTATTCCTTACTCTCTTCATATCTGCTTCCATAATACTAATTTTTTTTTTTTAGACTAGGCGCTCTATCGTTATTTCAACTCACCTGGACTTGAACCATGCACCAACATCTTCAGAATCTGTTGCCATCTCTTGGATTCATTAGGCCACGCTGGATTTCGTTGACAATCGCGCCACTTTTTACACTATTACAATGATTATATGAAGTTCATATATTTTGAACTGCGGTATTAAATACGTATGATGCATGATCCTTCGAAGTAGATAGCGCTATTTATGCAATAGCAAAAATCAGACCTGAAAAAAATCAGGCCTGTACGGGATTCGAACCACTGACCTCTGCGATACTAGTGCAGCGCTCTACCAATTGAGCTAACAAGCCAACTGGGAGCAGGCCATCAAATTAATTCGATATAAACCCGTGGATGATAAATCAAACAACAACAAACATATGAAACATATGTGTGAACTGCGGTTATGAGACGTATATGAGAACGATCCTTCGCAGTAAAGCACTATTTGAGCAATAGTGAAAATCAGACCTGAAAAAAATTTCAGGCCTGTACGGGATTCGAACCACTGACCTCTGCGATACTAGTGCAGCGCTCTACCAATTGAGCTAACAAGCCAACTGGGAGCAGGCCATCAAATTAATTCGATATAAACCCGTCAGTTGGCTTGTTAGCTCAATTGGTAGAGCGCTGCACTAGTATCGCAGAGGTCAGTGGTTCGAATCCCGTACAGGCCGGACTTTTTTCAGGTCTGATTTTCGCTATTGCATAAATAGTGCTATCTACTGCGAAGGATCATGCATCATACGTATTTCATACTGCAGTTCAAAATCACGGGTTTATTACCAATCAACTTAATGGCCTGCTCCCAGTTGGCTTGTTAGCTCAATTGGTAGAGCGCTGCACTAGTATCGCAGAGGTCAGTGGTTCGAATCCCGTACAGGCCGGACTTTTTTCAGGTCTGATTTTCGCTATTGCATAAATAGTGCTATCTACTGCGAAGGATCATGCATCATACGTATTTCATACTGCAGTTCAAAATCACGGGTTTATTACCAATCAACTTAATGGCCTGCTCCCAGTTGGCTTGTTAGCTCAATTGGTAGAGCGCTGCACTAGTATCGCAGAGGTCAGTTGTTCAAATCCCGTACAGGCCTGATTTTTTTCAGGTCTGATTTTCACTATTGCATAAATAGTGCTATCTACTGCGAAGGCTCGTGCATCATACGTTTTTACACTATCATAATTTATTAGTCCCAGGCTCCCCTCTGCTCGGCCAAATCTATTATTAAATACATTCGTATGCTTACACGCATGCACATTTGATGCAAATTTGGACTTCGAAAGAAATAATGACAGAGAACTCATGCGTTTCAAAAGAAATTTTTCTTCAAAAATGACATGATTTCATAGTGGAACAAACCAAAAATGAATCGCTAGTAACTTTGTTTATCGACGACAGCTTTTTTGACAAGGTGAAGACATAAATTATTTAAAAAAGCAAACAGATAAGTCCCTTGAACCAGATTCAGGAGAACAAACTGACTTACAAATGACCAAATGGGAGATGGACACAATCAAGTGAAAGAACTAGTCCTATGAAAATGATTCACTGGTAATGAAAGATAAAAAGAAAGTAATCCCCAAAGGACAGCTTCATAATGTTTTAAGCCTTGCACACAAACGCATAAATCACAGAGGAAGACAGATATCCAGAAAATGGATCAACAATAACTACAGCAAAGTCAACAGTAAAGTAATCTGTCTGTTTGTTGCTTCATGTCGTTTTCACACTGAACAAGGATCTATTACTAGTAGTGTGCAAACGATAGAAAAACCCCTTCAGTCTCTGCATTTCCTTTCTCCTTTTGAGATTGACCTAATGGATTTCAGAAACTGTCTATGCAACTGCACAGAACCTCATACCGGGGCGATTAATATCATAGATCGTCATACCAAATATGTTTATGTTTCACCACTTATAAACAAAACTGCTGATGAAGTGCTAAGAGCCATGAAAACGTACTGTTACACATATGGTTTCCCGAAAATGATTCTCACTGACAATGGAAAGGAATTTAAAAAGTACAAAAAAATGGAAGCATTCTGCAAGGAAAATTTGCAAGGAATTTTTGTATTGCTTGTTACTTAAGACTCGACAATAAAATTTATGTGTTGCAAAAACATTTCAGTACTTTTAAAGAAAAAAAGAGCTAGACTTATTCAAACAGTTCAAGGTTTTCTTGCTTGAATACACTGCTGCAATATATTCCCTAACCTAAACCCTAACCTCAATCTTAACTCCAACCAGTAAAATGAACATTAATGCTAAAATGTGGACACCTTAAAAACACAACTTTATGTTATACAGAGTACATTTTACATGTAAAACATCAAATGAATAAGAATGAGCTGTGCGCTTAAAAATTTTAAACCAGTTTGAAAATCTAAACCAGTTTTAAAAAAAATTAAACCAAAGATAAAATTTGAACCACAACGTCTCTATGGTGACGGAAATCTATTCCAATGTCTCCACTCTGCAGACATTTGACATTTGAATTTAAGATTAGTTGCTCCTGAGACTCAGAAAGTGTTTGTAAGCTTTAGATAATTTTGCATGTCACTTTGCAGTGTTCAGATTGTAGTGTCTGGAGATTGTTTGTAGATGATGGTAAAAAATCTGAAGAACAAAAGCCCAGTTTGTTTAACAACAAACAGCTGTTGAGAGATGTTCTTTTTCTGTGTAAACAAAGCGGCTCTATCAGGTACTGCCTCATTGCAGTGCTTGAAATTAGTGGTTGTCCAGTTGTCTGAGATGACGAAAAAGTTTACTGGGCAACCAATATTTAGTAAAATTAAGAGGCTGGTTGTCCTGGTAAAAAACAATGGACAACCCAGCCAAAAATAGAAAATAAATTAACCATAAACAGCACCTGACCTACGTGACGGTTTTGGTTTGTCAATGTCCGGTAGTGTGAAGTTATTAATAATTTGCCTCAGCTAAGCATTGTCCTGTGTTTTGGATATCTGTAAATTTTATAAAACATTGCCAGGTACAAAAATGTAAGAGACAAACACAAAGTTTCTTGTCTGGAGGCGATCAAGATCAAAGACGCCATTTTGAATATGCCACAACTTAAACCCAGACTTCTGCGAAAACCATTACCGCACACTAAGAACTATGGGATTAGTTCAAGCTTGACCGCTATGTGATTACATCTCAAGCTCTACATGGTGTAAAAATGGATGTTTTTTGAGTAGTGCACTTAAATGTGTGGGTACTTCTACCAGCAACCAAGGATTCATCAGGGCAACCAAATTCACGGCTTTGGTTGCCCGGCTTTTGAAATAGGGACAACCTGGATTTTTTTTAATTTCGAGCACTGTCATTGGCATTTTGAATTATAAAAAGTGCAAATTGATTATCAAAATAATGACATGGTTTTGCTTTCCCTCAGTTGAGGAAAATTGGTTTTGGTGAAATCATTGTGTTTTCTGAGAGGTTTATTCATATTTTTATCAGTTGCATGAATATGTGAAGGAGAATTTTCATGCAGGCCTGAAAAAAATGTTGTTCATCATTCAACCATGGCTGGTCAGTGTATGTTTAGTTTTTGTCCCAGCTGGTTGGGAACCATTGCTCTGAGATCTATGTTACAAGTTTCAAGGGGAGTATTAAAATCTGCTTAAAAAATGTATTTTGTATGTATGTACAGTCATGTATTAAACAAGTGCTATCGTCAGATGCATAGCTATTGTAATAATTGTAAATAATAATATTTCGATTTGTATCTGCTACATGTAGGTTTTGATTGAAATACTACAGAGGATATGTCTGTGAACTGAAGGCTGAAATTAAAAATTTTAAATGGATAAATGCTTGGAAAATACTAGAATTTTTTAGACTACAAGAAAAACTTTATTCATTCATTTGATAATTTACCATTACAAGGATTTGGGAATTTGTTCTCACACACATCAAGTTAAACATAACCAAGATGCACACATACATGTACCAACAGGAGGGTAGTACAAAATTAATTTTTGTTAGTTGTTGAAGTATAGTATGGTTAGACAATAATTATCCAAAAGGGGAGATAATAAAATTTTTGTTTTCCAGAAATCCTTGTAATGGAACAATAACATTTAGCTGCAGGAGTGTGTGTTGTAATCTAGTTGTGTAGACTGATGATTTGAGTGAACACAGTTAAGCATTTAACTGCTCTGATGAAAATGTCTAAAAATTGTTTCAAGTGTCAGCTTTGGGTTTATGGAGATTAATGCAGCACTTGGGAAGCTACATGTAGAGTTTCTCTGGGCTGTGTCTTCAGAGCAACTCTTATGCATCTCTTACGTTTAAAGCTACCAGAAAAACTCCTGAACTGCATTGTATTCATTGTTTTTTTTTGTACATAGCTCCCACCCTGAGCGATGATGAAGATGATGATGCTGTCCATGATAACACCCTTGCTTGGGATGACTCCTCCATCCATGTCGCCACTGGTGGTACTCCAGTTACAGGTTCTTTTGTGCCAGCCATTGGTGGTCCCTTCTCTGCCCTCACACCCAGTATGTGGCCACAGGACCTACTATCAAGAATTCAGCAGGTACATGTATCTCACAACTGCATCTTTCCCCTAAAACAAAAAAATAAATTGATGTTTCATGCTAAATTAGTTAGGTTCACTTGATGAACATTTTGCAGAAGGTGTTGCTGTCACTGTCTCTCTTTCTCTCCCTCTCAATCCAGCTCGATCTCTTCTTGCTACTCAATAGGAAAATAAACTGGTGATGATGAACAGTTGAACAGGAAGTCCTTATTAAAAACATTTCAACTCAGAAGTACTTATTCAAAGTCTGAAAGTTACTGCAGCATTACATCTCCCTGCACATATGTGAGGGTATTGATTCTGTAATCATGCTACTGTATATATGAATATTACTTTACTTATTAATTAATCTGATTCCTGTCAGGACCTTTTTTTATCCGATCAACCCATTTTTTACTCATTGCCTTGAGTTTTCCCGGCCCATTTGTGAGGTCATATTAATAGGGTTTCCCTGTAGAAGTGTAACATCGTTAAAATATCATTTTTCTTTTTGGTTTGCTTTTAGACAGAAGATGCAGGAGGTCGTCCAACTGGACATTATGATGAATTTGGATTTATGGTCAATGGAGGTAAATGTTGTCATTGGCATGAACTTGTTATTCAAAGGAAATGTAAAACAAATCATACTTTTACTGCTTTGGTCTTTAAAGCTAGGAAACAGGAGGAGACAAGTATTTTGTACTTTCATAACTTGGGAAAAGATGGGAGCCTTAATTTGTTTGTTGAAACATTGAATTTCTGTGAAATTCTGTACCTCTGCTGTACAGTTTTGCCCTCAGGAAACTAAAAGTGGTTTCGATTAAAACATTTCTTACTTATTTAGATTAATTACTGCAATAATTGTGTAGCTTTTCAGAATGATAAATGGAAGCAATAAATATTGAACGGGTTTTTGCAAAACCTGTTCTGCCAACATATCGCTCCACCATTAATGTCCGGGGTATCAATAGTATATTTGTATTTGAAACATTGTGTTGATCATTTTGATATTTTTAATGCTTTATAACAGATTTAGAGTTTGAACACAAAGACCCTGATCCTGGTAGTTTTGTGACAAGTGAGGACGAGGGACTTAGACTTAAATGGACAGCTTTCTTGGAGTTCACACAGAATCAAGATGTTGGTGAAATGACCTGGGACAAGGTAAACGGAAATCAATTCTCATGTGAATTATTTAATTCTGATTATTACACAACCATCTTTGTTGGTTATTTAACTTTCCACCCAATGCCTTCATGATGCAGAGGTTAGCACACACGAGGAGGCTTTCATTTTGCATTTTTTTCTTTGTTGCACTTGACATTTTCTCTCTTTGAATTTTTACTAGGTGTCTCCAAGCTTTCCTCATTCAGACAAGTTACGAGAGCTTGTTTATCTTGGAATTCCCCACAGCATGAGAGCTCCAGTGAGTAAAAACTGAAAAATTGAAATTCATACAGTTGAACTCTTCCATTAATGTACTAACTTCAGCTGTACATGTAAGTCACAGAAGTTGAAGATGGGTAAGTTGGGGCTTTACTGATACTGATGATATTGAATAATGCTTACCCATACTTTATTATAGATCTGGATGAGAATATCTGGAGCTTTACAAAAGAAAATTAGCAGTGATTTTACTTACAAGGTGAGTGATTGTGAAATTTCATTCTACTTTTTTTGTAATGAGTCTTTTATAATCTAGTGGGCCTTAATGAAACCTATTCTACATATTTACTTTCATGTATAGTTTTTATTACAATTTAGTTAGTCATTATAATTTAGTTTTAATATTAAATAATATTAGTATCATAGGCCTTCACAGATGAAGAGCCACACCTTTTATGTGGATATGCTGTGAATAAACCGTTATTATTATTATTAATTAAAACGATACAATTCTTGATCCATTGAGAAGTAAAAAAATTTAATTCACAACTCATAGTATCTTAACATGTGCATGTATCGATTTGCAGTTTATTATCAAGTTTGTTTGTTTGTTTTGTGAGTATTTGCTATCTCATGTGAAATGTAGCTCTTCTTACTGGATTCTCATAGCAAATTGTAAGGGCAAGTGCAGATGAAAATTCTTTGACAGCCAAGCAAATTGAAAAGGTGAGCTGGTGTACATTAATGGCTGTTCCTGTAACCTCAGTTGTGAACTCTGAAGACTAAAGGCCAATATTGTTATGCATAATGTTTGTACATTGTAACACTACAAGTAATTTCAACTCCTGTTATTTTGTACAATTAAAATGACCCATTGTAAACATGTACTCATGAGTTTATGAATGCTGTATGATGACCATTAGAAACAACTGAGAACCAATTATTGGATCTAATTCTTACATGGGATGTAAATGTAACTTTGTATTTGTTGCAAGTCTCAATAAACTTTACATTGTGTCTATACAGGATTTGCTGCGAACCATGCCAAACAATGCATGTTTTTCAACACCAACAAGCACTGGACTTCTACGGCTCAGAAGGATCCTTAGGTCTCTAGCTTGGTTGTACACTGATATTGGCTACTGTCAAGGAATGGGCATGGTAAGCTTTAGATGCATGCTGTTGAACTGTTTTTCTGCTTCTACTTCATGTGGTTCCTACTGCACAAGATTAAGTAATTTTCCTTTGCCCCACACTTAGTGCTGTACACTTGAACACGGGAAGTACTGCCTAAGCTTTTTGCTCCTTTCAACATATCTTGATTTCACAATAAATTTTTTAGTAGCTTGAAATGTTTTTTGTGTACTGTGATTGTCTCTGAAAAAGAACTGTTGATATTTCTTTCTTTGTAGATTGTGGCATCCTTGTTACTCTTTGTGGAAGAAGAAGATGCCTTTTGGTTGATGTGCACAATAGTGGAGGATCTTGTACCTACATCTTATTATTCAAGCACTTTGATTGGTGTACAGGTGAGAATCTTTTTAGAGGGTCTTGAAAATATCTAATCGCTATAATACAGTGTGGCTCTGAAGAGATTTTTTTAACAAATGTTTTGTGGGGGTTTTCCAGTCAAGCTACTGATCTTGAAAAGCATCAGGGGACTAGAAATGAAGGTTGAAGTACTGCAAATGTCATACTTAGTTTGCATGCAATTATTTTCCATGTATCCAGGCGGATCAAAGAGTTCTGCGACAGCTGATTGTCAGTTATCTTCCACAAATGGATGAACAGCTAAAGGAGCATGATATTGAATTGTCATTGATTACCCTTCACTGGTTCTTGACAGCATTTGCTAGTGTTGTACACACCAAGGTAGGCAAATGAAACCACTGATCATTAATTACTCTTTAATGGCATTAGGGTTTTCTTAAAGTAAACTGTATCATCCAGGGGTTTCATTAAGGGCCTGGGCACCAGGCAAATTGACTGGTTGTGAGGGTAGTTTTGGCCTCCTGGTTTGACCATGTGGATGAAAGTTTATCATATAAAGAAGTTCAGTTCAAAAAGTTTTGCCCGCCTGTGAAAACCAGTTGCCCTCCTGCTGAAAACGTTAATGAAACCCCTGATCATCCATTAAGCAAATGAAGGTTATGATACCAGTCAAATTTTCCAACAATTAAAATGTTAGGGTTTTTTTTGACAGTCTATGGCTACATAATTATTGTGTACAATTTACTTCAATGTTTGCATTTCCAATAAATTTTCAGATCCTTTTGAGGGTTTGGGATATTTTCCTCTATGAAGGCTCAGTTACACTGTTCAGAATCACACTTGGTATGCTGAAAATGAAGGTATGAACTACCACCAAACTATAGTTCTAGTTGCATTGAAATAGCTTGGTTGTCACATGCAGGATAAAAGGGAAGTTCTTGGAACTCAAGGAAAATTAATTAAATTTAAAAATTAAAATTTTTAAAAATTATTTGATCTCTCTGACAACAAAGTTACATGTAAGGGTTGTGTTGCATCGTTGTCAGCCACATAGATATACCGGTAGTCATATTATTATGTAGATATTTAGTGTTTTCTCTGAAAGGCAACAAAAATTTTTGAAATAGAAAGAGAAAAATATTCACAGTATATACATGGTTATATACAGATTAAGTATACCTTGTAAATGAGAATAAGAGTTTGTAATTTAAAATCTGAACTGATGCAAAAAAAAAACGACCGCACTCAGCCATGCATACTCCAGGTGTACTGAACATTGAATTGCAATGTGTTGTTATGATGTTTGCATAGGAAGATGTAATCTTAAAGCTGGACAATTCAGCACAGATCTTCAACACACTCTCTGATATACCTGGTGAAGTCAGTGATGCTGATGAACTGTTAGAGGTACATTAACTTGATTGCTGTGTCTAATGTAAAACTCAATAACAAGATCCGTGGGCCAGGGGATGGGTCCTTCATCTTAAGGTTCCCCTATAGGATCGTGGAGATGCATGGTTAAACTATAGAGGAATTTTTCCTTAGAAGGGAAGGGGGTTCCTAAGATTTCAATACAGTTGCCGAAAGAACCGCCTCCCAGTTAGCTCAATGGATAGAGCGCTGGACTGTTGTGCGGGAGGTTGAGGGTTCGAGCCCCGGCCGGACCAACACTCAAGGTCCTAAAATAATTGAGAAGAATAGGCTTCCTTTCTTTAACATCAAGAAATGGTTTAGATATTCTAGTCTTCTTGGATAGGGACGAATAAATGGAGGTCCCGTCTCCTGCAGGAGGGGTAAGAGACGTTAATTTCCCACACACGAGATTACTGTATGATGGATATCCTTCCCCAGGGTGGGATGGGTGGGTTGGGTTTAGGTGGATGAACCTAGTAGGGGACTACGTGTCCTATTGTTCTTCCACCTGTACAATGTACAAATCTTTAGAAAAAGAAGACACATTTGCAAAGTCTTTCCCTACTGCGAGCAAGTTGAGTGCCCGGTAGCCGCCAGGCAATATTATCCAATAGAAGCCCGTGTTTTCTTAATCCTCATTACTAGGCTGCTAAGCAGGCGTTCGATCCAAGTGATCTAAACCGGTACGCCTGGAGGAGAAGTCACGCGAGAGACTTGTCTGCCCTCTTGCCCGCGTGTTACTCGCGTTCTCACTGAGTACCTTTACGCATCTTACTACATTTTTGCTGATATTAGTTTTTTTTTTCTTTTGTAACACTACGGAGTAATTCATCGTGTTGAATTTTCAGGCTGCAAACAAGGCTTCTGCCTCGCTGACAGATGTCATCCTAGAGACACACAGAAAGAAGCACATGGCCTTTCTTATGGCTGACCTTGGGGTCCTGATGGATAAGGAGTCTGGAAAACAAATGTCCAGAGATGTAAGAGATCCTTTTTTAGTGTAAATAGAAATATATACCACTCATTTATTCGTGTTTTTCTCGTTGCCATGTTCCCACCAATAACGTAGCTCCATTTTCTGCCTTTAAAAGCACACACAACCCACAATTCCTCTATTCGTTCCGACGAAGGGCTAACGCTCGAAACGTCAGCTTTTGTAATCGTTACGGTGGCCAAGTTACCATTTCAACTTGTTGATATATCCGAAAAATATAGCAGTTATGTTCACCCGCACAACCAGCTTTCTGTGCCTCGATTAGGGTATGGGTAATTCTCCTCGAAGTGATTCGTGTGGAATTTCCAACTTTGGGGTAAGGACACGCTTTATGGCCTTATGGGATAATTATAATCGATAAGAGAAGAAGAATTACTCAGAAGGAACGCAAAAATTCCAAAATTGGACATTGCTGTACTTAATAAAGAGTATTAGAGCGGATTGCATCCTGGTCAACTTAAAAGTTGGAAACAATCATGTTTGCTGAGTAGCAACATTAATTTTCATTGCGAATGTGAAGCTTAAGGCTCGTAATTTAGATATAAAACAGAAACACTCTTTACCTTAGAAATCGTTTCGAAGCCGTTTAAACAAAATGTTTTTCTCTGTTTGCAGCGGCTTCAAAAACGAACAATAGCTCCACCTAGATCTTTCTTCAGCTTGCTCTTTGGTGAGTTTACACTACAGGGAGGCAAGGGCTCCTTACTGTAGATATAGGTTACTTTACAATTTGTATTACAGTTTATTTTGATGAGATTTGTCGAAAAAGTTTATAAACCGAATTCTGTGACAGCCATGAATAGCGCTTGGTCAATTGTTAGAAAATCCGCGCGAATTGTTTGGGGATCAGGGAAGCTTTGAAAACCCAAGAAGGTGAAATCAGGATTAGCAGTGTTAAAAAAGAGATCATTCATTCAACGGCGAATTAGAAAAAAGAAAAATATTACGTGCAGCCACTGATAACTCAATAAAGACACGTGAACTGCCTTAATCGAGGAAAAACACGATTGTCCATGCAAATGCCATTACAATCCCCGAATATTCGTGAGCATCACTTGAAAAGTGTTGTATGTAACAAACCTTGTATCTTTGTGTCCTTACTGGAGCATTCATTTCACGTTCTTTTCAGGGAGAGGTGGTGGTGTTTACTTACAAAAGGCTAAAAATATCAGACAGACAGGCAAGTAACTTTAAAAAAAAAAAAACTGAAATAGGGGACTATACGAGCCATCAAATACATTGTAACCATAGGTTGGTTATCAACTATAAGTTGATAAAGGTTGGTTAACTGCCGTAACGAATTTTCAACAGGGGATTTTCAAAGGGTAGCCCTTTCTCAGAACAAACAGATATATTTTTGGTGATAAGAGAGCCCATGGTGGTATTTTGGTCGTGCCTCATTTGAGAGACACTTTCGGTTTTGTACGTGGCAACCATTTGTTGTTACTGATGAGGTAAATTTCGTCTCTGTAGAACTAGTAGCAGATTTGAGAGAAGCTATTCTCCAAATTGCCAGACATTTCGATGCTGTTGATCCAAAGAAGGTGAGATGACGTTTTGTTACAAATACTCTTGTGTGAGGCCGAAGAATTCAAGATTGACGTAGAGTGCAAAGAGTTTCTGAGATGCAACCGGACAGATACATCTTTCTAGTTTTCAATCGAAGGTCGAATGTAATCCAACATTGGATTGGTTATATTTTTCGTGGCTTTGTGATTGGTTTAGAAGACTTGAGAACTTCTTAACCAATACCAATAGTGACGTGGTAATTTTCGTTTCCCCTAGCTCCCCCCTCCCTCACTTCAGGCAGTTTCGGTTCCATCCACTCACCCAAGATTGTCTTTGATTGCCTCTAGGGACTGGACGTTGACTATTCAATGGAGAGTCACGCAAGAGACCATGAGAGGTTCATCAACGTAGCCAGGTATTCTTAGTAATTACACTTAGTCAATGTAGTGTCTTACCATATTTGGCTGAAGGTCACGAAACGATTGGAGAGAGTTGTAAACCGGCGTTTATTATAAAAAGTAGAAAGAACGGTATATATGCCAGGAGGGTGAGATCTTTTGTGGATGACATTTCTTAGCTAGTTGGTTTTCATTTTGTGGTGACGTTTGTTGCTCCTTATTTGTAGGAATCGGCGCAGAAGAGCTAAAGCTTTATTGGACTTTGAAAGACACGATGACGACGAATTGGGATTCAGGAAAAATGACATTGTTACGGTATGTTGTGGGGCAGCAGTGTTCTTAGAAATGATTTGAACCCCTAGGAAGGTGTAGGGGAGTACCCCTCCAGGAAAAATTGAAATCTGAAAGCTTGGAAACGTAATTCCAAGCATTCTGGACATAAAAAAGAGTGCTCACAGGCTCAACGGACGGCGATTAGAGGTGCTTTGGGCAGCGGTCGCGGTGATCGGCTTTTATTGAAACTCCTACTGTATACTGGATCGCTATTATAGTTGTCTTTCTTCTTCACTTCAGATAATTTCTCAGAAAGACGAACACTGTTGGGTTGGGGAATTGAACGGTCTTAGAGGTGAGGCAAATGGCCATGTAATCATATGTAAACAGAGTGAAATCCTAACTATAGTAAGGGATTGATTCAAGAGAAGCTTCCTTTCTAGAAGTGTGAGCAAAGTTAGAAAGTAAGAGAGTGTCTACGTAACAATTTTACCCCTAAGATCTCAATATCAATACTCCTCTCTGTCTTCCATACAGATCTTATAATTGTAGCTGTGAGGATTTGTTGTCGAATAAAATAATATCTCCCTGTTGATAGTTTACTCTCTTCTCGTTACTTGTCTTGTTGATAATGTATCGATGTTGTATGGAGAAGTTGCTCACTGTTCTCTTGTGGGAGTGAAAGGGTCAAGGTTTGGTTCTCGACGGACTTTGTTGTATTTCATGGAGCAAGCTCATTTGCTGTAAAGGAGGGAAAGGCGAATGGATCAAGTTTATCTAAGAGGACCTTCAAATATTTATCGCAGTTTTTTCAAATGTTGGGGAAGAAATACTGTACGTTCATTTGTGGATCCCTTTTAATATCTTTTGCTATTTAGGTTGGTTTCCAGCGAAATTTGTTGAGATTTTGGATGAAAGAAGTAAAGAGGTAGGTGACTTCATCTTTAGGTAAGGTTTAAATGTTGATATCTTTCTCGAAGGTTTCAACGTTTTTCTTTCTTTATTTGCCGATGTAGTACTCAACTGCCGGGGACGATTCGGTGTCTGAAACTGTAACAGATCTCGTCAGAGGCGGGTAAGTAAGTCATGAAAGGAAACGCCAAACTATTTCCAACTACATGTATTCAAGTTAGCCGTCCATTACAATCGCAAGTATATGACACAATCAGGTGATCGTACGTGAAATAAAATCATGTAACTGACTTCAATAGCGGGCGAAACGTGCCTGAACTAAAATTTCTGAATTTCTTGCAACATCAACCTTCTCTCTTTTTCTGTTTTGGAAATGGGAACAGTCTCTCTGTGATATTTATTGTATGTGCTCGGTTCTTTCTGAGAGAATTCGTCTTAAAATCTTTGTCATTTATTAATTTCTTCTCCTAGTAATTACATAATAATATAAAAGGTAGTTCTGTCAATAAAATGTAACTAAGGAGGAGCGGAGCGCACCTAGAAGAGGTCATGTTGTACCCCTTACTACAATTGTTGTTATGGTAAATGAGAAAGAGAGATGAATTTTTTTATTTACATACCCTGAGGACAGTAATGAATACTGAATTTCACAAGATTCGTTTGAGAGCAACACAAATTGGGCATTAGTACTAAGCAGCGTAACTGAGTTTCAGTGCATTTTAATTGGTTTTTTCGACGATGTTTGACGGGTACGCAAAGGATTGTTGTTCCAGAAACATCTTCCACTCTCGATTTTCCTTGTGAAATGGTTTGTTTATTTTCTCTTTACACATTAGCTTATGTCCCGCAATGAAGTCGATATTCCTGCACGGCATGAGGAAGCCGTCCATTCTTGGAGGACCTTGTCATCCATGGCTCTTTGTTGAAGAGGTGAGTGAAACCTCGACTTATCTCTCTTTCTCTGCTTTCTCTCCTTTCCCTGCTGAGCGAAGTTTTGCCTCTTGATACGTCGTCAATTGCAGCAGTTTTACTCTGCGGTTATTTTGCATTCTGATGGTACATTGTGTTTTCCCTAATTTTCGTTGAATTAATTCTATATTTCCCAGTTAATTGTTATTTTTATATCAGGCCAGCCAACGTGAAGTAGACAGAGATTTCCAGTCAGTGTACTCTCGCCTGGTGTTGTGTAAGACATTTAGGTCAGTGAAGAATGGTGGAAGTGCTGCTTTATGTGTTAGTAATCAATTAAAGCTACGAATATTTTATCGAAAAGATACACCCTAAAGTGACTATTTTACTGTATGATGGACAAGCACTGGTGTTTTTAGGTTTTTTTTTTAATCTTTGATAGAAGCACATAAATCTGATTCGGGTGATGAAAACCGTCAGGGAGAATACGATGAACAAGTAGTCATGTTTCTCTCTGTGAATATCTTATGGCAGATTGGACGAGGATGGAAAGGTTCTCTCACCTGAGGAAATTCTTTACAGAGTAAGTGCTTATTGATACTCTATTATTTATCTCATGATAACTATTTTCAAAAGAAATATGTTACGCCATCAAGTGAGGAGAATACACGTGTATCTTTAGAATGTCTTCACTGAACAATTCCATGTTCTTTTTCGTTGCCATGCAGGCTGTGCAGTCAATAAACATGAGTCACGATGCTGCAAACTCACAGATGGACATCAAAGTAAGGCAGTTTCGTTATGAAATTCTCTTTTTAGGATAAAAATGTTTTGGTTTCCTTTAGGCTATAAAGGTACAGTAAGGTAAAAGGGGTAAAAATTAAATAAGTAAAATGCCATGGATCACGATCTACAACCAAGGGCTCGAGCTACAGGCGACTCGATAGAAAGAAAGAGAAAAAGTTCTGGCTTTGTTTTTACTGTCGAGATTGTGGGGAAAAAAAGCAAGCAAAAGATATTGGTTCAATAATCAAGGTTCAGAACGTAGACTCTCGCTGCGCGCACGATCAGCGCAACTCAATCAATAAGTTGTTCGTAGTCTACGTAGAGACTTCACACAGAGCGTTTTATAAACTAAAGTAAACTAATATGCTATTAGTAAACTATTAGACTAATAGTAAACTAATATGCTATTAGTAAGCTATTAGACTAATAGTAAACTAATAGGCTTTTCTCGGAGGTTTGTCTCACAATCATCACCTGACAAACTAAGAAGGCCCTGAGTATTTTTCTTTTTGAATTCATATTCATGTAGTTTTTTCTCCTTTGTTTCTTTCTTTTTTTTCTTTTTTTTTTTTTTTTTTGCAGTTCCGATCTCTAATCTGCTATGGTCTGAAGTGAGTAATTCTTTGAACAATTATAATTTCCTTTTGCTTGAATTCCTCATCCGCAGAACAGCTGTCGAGGAAATTGTTTGCTCTTTTTGTTTTGATAATTTATTGGAAGAGTTGTAAAGACCATCACTTGAATTAATTTTTTTTTTCTTATTTAAACAGCGAGCAATGTCTTCATCTGTGGTTAGAGACACTGTGTGCCTGTGAAGATGTCGTCGGAAAGTGGTACGTGACATCCGTCTTAGTTACATAATTTTGGGTTATCTTAACGTGACAGTTATTGTTGTCACGCCATAAATCAGATTAGACACATGGCTACTGCTTCTCAATCAGCGTTTGGTACCGTTTTGACGTTTTAGCTTTTTTTTCCAGGTACCATCCCTGGTCATTTCTTCGGAGTCCAGGCTGGGTGCAAATCAAATGCGAACTAAGGTAATAAACGAGAAATTATGGCGTTTTTTTTTTCTCACTCTTTGACCCATTAACCTTCCATGTAATCTGTATCGAGTATGTTGGCTTCAAGAATTACAGGTTTACAACAGGTAGTATATTACTTGATTTTATTGCGTCTCTCAGTTAGGTCGTGTACAGTGATTGACCAATTTAGCGAGCCGTATTTCACTATACGGCTCGCTAAATTTAAAAGTTTGTTTGAATAAAATCATGCTCCTCTAGTTGAACCCAGAGGTGCCATAAATATCCTACTAACCTCGGTTTCTCGGTCTGTACATATATCTTATTAACCAAGCGCGAGGGCCGTACTGGGAGAATATCGGCCCGAGGTCTTGACAGTACGGACCGAGCGTAGCGAGGTCCGTACAAAAAAGACCGAGGGCCGATATTCTTCCAGTACGGTCCCGAGCAAGCTTGGTTAATAAGAGATTTATTATACGACTGAAGTTCAAAGGGACGCAAGTGCGGTATCATTCGGCACCATTCGGGACAGTGCCCGGTCCAATACTGAGAGAATATTGACCGGCAATAGAGCATTTTGATTGGTTTATTTTAGTTATTAGCCCTCTGACTGCCTGAGTCGTGTAATAATGTAAGTTACGGAATCTCGTTTTTTCCAATCGGATTTATGTCCTTCAATTCCTAGGAGATCAAAAAAATGGAACATGTCTACACACTTGTGTTAATTGAGTGGTAATAACTAGATTTGTTTTGTTTTCTTCAGAACACTTGCATCCTTTGCATTCAATCTCAATATCGATTGGGAGCTTACCAGCGAACGTAAAGCTGTAAGTACACTCTTTACTTCTGGTTCGTTTTTGGAGCGTTTGTCACCTTCCCCACCTCTAACATAGAAAACTAAACCGTTCTTGACTTGGCCGCGTGTTTACTTTTGAGTCCTCATTCACCGTTCACAACGCTTTTCCTTTTATTTATCTTTTAACCCAGCGCTCATTTCTCATTGTTTTAGGCGAGTTAATATTCTACTGAACCACTAGAGTTACTGTAATTTTTAGAGCCACAAAGTTTGCTGTCGATCCTTTCTTGTGATTGTGACAACTTTTATTTCTGCTAACTTCACTTTGGGACCCGATTGTATTTGTGTTTGCCCTCGTCTGCGTGCCAGTGTTCACTAAAACACAATGTTATTAAAACTAAGTGATGCACGGAACCCGAGCTTTCAACTTCGTAGAGTAACAAGTCAACATTGTACCTTTAAGAGCTGTTGTTTCATGGAAGAGAAGTTTTGTGAGTGCGTGCGTGTGTGTGTGTTCGGCAGGGAGGGGGGGAATCCCTCGAAACAAGAAGGGGATTGTCGTGCTTTCAGGGTAAAAATTCCTAATAGTACAACTGTTAAGGTTTTGCAGAATTTTAGTGATTGATTGCTTTTGTAATATTCATCAAATTGTTGCTGCGAAAGTTGTTATCCTTGAACTTCAGGGATGTGTATTAAACTGTGTGTTTCATAGCAGGTTGTAGAGGGGTTCGCGCAGCAAAAGAAATTGCAGGTTAGATGTTTTGGTCCTGATTGGCGATGAACCAGCGCTGCCTATTTGGCATGGTTCCTTTAGATATGATGTTTGGGAACATTGGCTTAATCTGTTTGCAGACATGCTCTTTTTGCTCATCAAGGCCACACTCAGTCCGCCTCGGGTCCGTGCCATATTTTTGTCGTGGCTCTCATGTTCCCTAATCTGGTTCCTATTAACTTGAACCTTCTTTTTTGTATTTGCTGAGTTTGCTTTCCAAGCCATGTTAGTGTTATTTACTTCCTTAGTGATTGCTATTTTTATTCCTTTAAAAGTTAAGCGCTTGTTCTAGTGAGAGATTTGAGACTGATTTATGCAGTTAAGTTACTTCGTGTTATATCTATGTGAAATTTATCATGCATTAAGTGGCGACTATAAAAAAACTTGAAGCCTCCGCCACTTAGTATGGCTCGATGTCGGCAAAAATTCTTACGAGGTACCCTTTCAGATTGTGATTATGTGATCGACCTGAATCTCCGTCCCAATTTTTTTTTCTCCTTATTTCTGACGATTATGTTGATGTTTTCTCACAAAGTGTTTTTCTCTTTTTCTTTTCTTCGTGTCGATGCAATGGGAATCCTCAGGAGGTGAGTAGTTTTCCTTTGCTATTATATTATTTGGCCCTTAAGATGGACCTCCATCCTGTATTATGTGTAAAGGTCTGTTGTCGAAGTGGAGTGGAAGAAATCATAACAGCCACTTGGGAAACAGTGCGAAAAGACGAACAAATACAAAGCAAAACGAAGGTAAAGTAATCTTGTTATGTGGTCGTGTGAGGGTTAGAGAAAGATTGGCCGCTCAAGTTTTCAAAATGTTCGTCGCTGTCAATGACTGCAGCCCATTTCAGTAATACTTTGAACCAGACGATCATTATAGTGTATCATTGCCAGTCACTCACAGGTTCAAACATTTCATTTATATGTAATGATTGCCCACAGGTAACCCAGCCCATGAAAGATGGAGTTCGAGACATGCTGGTTAAACATCACTTGTTTAGCTGGGATCTTTGAAGGGGCTTCCCAAGTACATCTGCGTGCCAGAAGAGGTGTTCAAGCGAAGTTAGTTTCTCCAATTATTTTTGTGATTCTGGCTCAGATTTTACAGATTAAGTCGAGATATTAATTCCACATGCAAATAGTAAATTGTTTCTTTTGTTGTAAGTAGTCTACCCATGTTAACGCTTAAAGTTCATAGATCTGATAAGCGATTCTCATTTCTAACTGCTTAAATTGTGTTATCAGTTCAGAGAACTTGGTGTTATATCATGGTAACAACCATAAGTTTGTTTATTCGCACTACCGGGTAAACTCGTTAATGAATTTATACTGTAAGGAGAAATTGCATATCGATCACTTCTGGTAGTTAAAGGGGAAAATAGTACTCAAAAAGTGACAGGATAGCTCATTAATGTTTAAATGTAAGATAGTTACATTCGCTTCCATTGCGCTCTCCTGGCAAGAGATGAATGAAATGATCCTGAGAGTTAAAGAACTGCCACGCTTAATTCTGATGGGAAGGTGGTGTCAGTTGTGACACGGTCGTGAAAATTGTTTAAGTTAAAAGAACCTACAAGAGAAAATATTGAAAAAGGATATTTGTAAATTAAGGCTATAATTTGCATACCCTTATCTGAATTCGTTTGAAGGTTGTCACACACTTTTTTTTTTTTTTGTGAGTTACAAGATGCGTTTCGTGACGACCTAAATGAAGCTGCTAGAGCGTTGCATAATAGTAATGTTAGTTTGATTTATAGCACCAGTTATCCAATGTAAAACTGTGACAGGAGGTTTATTGTTATATAGTTTTGGATGGCTTCGGCATACTCGAACGCATTATTACAGTGGATGGAATATTTTTGTATGCAAGAGTACTGGTTGCATATTTGCTTCAGTATGATTGCAATTCAGAAGGTGTCGAAATATTACAGTAACTTTTGTTATTTTAAATCCGCGAAATAACAGGATTTATTGAAAGTTAGTTAACTAGGTAGAAGGAAATTGTAATCTCAATGTAATGAAATTGACATTCTTGGCGTGAATGGTGAGGCGATAAATCCTCGTCGTTTGTTGATTACGACTGGGTTTATGTGGTGTTAACAGTGAAGTTTTAATGTTACCACGTGGTCTCGTTTAGGGGAAAGTTTTGGTTGAACTTTGATGAGAATGGAAATGAGAGAAATGACGCGAAAAGGTAGTTAAATTTACTGAAACCAGTATTTGAAAGCCTGTGATTGTAAGAGAAAAAGTCGCTCGATTACACGCTTCAAAATTTGGGTTTTAACGGCAGCAAATTTACCAATTTGTGAATTAGCCTGCCTTTGACAAAAAGGTTCCTCTCTCCTGTCCATGTGCAAGCTTGCCACGCAAGTCTCGAGACAAAGTTGTGGAACTGCTGAAATAGACGAACACGACGATTGACTAGAATCCGTTCTTAGTGCTTAGTGTTTTAGTAATAAGTAATCAAACAACATAACGAATCTGTGAGGTACCACTGTCAGCATTTTGTTGTTTTAGTGTTATTTATTTGTTATAAACTAATCTTCGTAAGTGCTAATGGACCCGTCATTATTTATCGCCTGGGGGGGGGGGGGGGGTTTTTGGGGATCACTCGGTTTTCAGGGGGAACGGGTGGGGATCAGTTGTAGGGAGAAACTATAATAAAAAATGACTGCTAGTGAGGCGGGGCGTGGGGGAGGGGGATAGGGGCTCTTAAGAATATTAAATATTACCGAGCTTTGTGAGGGGATCTGGTAAATGTTATCGTGACAAAACCAAACTCTCCTACGAGCCCTCCACTCCCCTTCGGCGATAGATAATGACCGGCGCCTAACCAGAATAATTTAAAACTCGGCTACTTTACTGAACACGTTCAAGTGAATGTCAGTGCGAGATCTGAAAGCAGAGTCAAGAATATTTGATAACGAAGAAACACGAGAAAAGGAAATATTTTAAATTGTAGAAATAACTTAATTTAACTGCAATACTCCAAGTAACGAAGTAAATATTTCAGAGACACAATGTGTTAGAATGTACAATCGAGACGTGCAATTAAAATAATCAGTCGAACAGTTACATGGACCCTTGTATGTGTCGAGTTCTTGGGTTCGGTAATATTACTATAGAGTTATACTCATGGAAACAGAGCTCTAGTCATGCACAAGTGCACTTAGTTCAACCGTACTTTAATTACTGCAGCGAGGTCTGGGGGCATTGTAACAAGGGTCTTTCGAATAAGCTCCAAAAGTTGCAAAACCGGGCTGCCCGTATTCTGACCTTCTCCAGTTATGACACAAGCGCTGATCCTCTTTTTGTGCAACTTAACTGGAGACGGTTAGATACTCAGCGACAAATACAAGTGGCCACCATGGTCTATAAATCTATACATGGTCTTGCGCCCGACTATCTTGGTTCTCTTTTCACTAAATATGATCCTCCATATAATCTAAGGAACTCTGAAAACAAACTAGCTGTTCCATTGCCCCGCACCAATTTCCTGAAAAATAGCTTTAGCTATAACGGTGCGGTTATCTGGAATAGCTTGTCCCCTGAATTGNAGTTATTTAATAATTAACAATTATTCCACGAGCGCGCGTTGGATATGAGATGATAGATAGCCAACGAGGCGCGTAGCGCCGAGTTGGCTATAATCATCTCATATCCAACAAGCGCGAGTGGAATAATTGTTTTATTAAAAACGCCCTCAAGAAATTATTATTTTGTAAGAAGAAACCGGATTTTTTAGCTCCCTTTTGATTTTAAGCTGACGCGTACGCTTACCATATTTGTAGATTATGGTATATTGGCTCATATACCATAATGGCTAAGCCAATGAAAAGTCTTGAATTGCATTATCCAATGATCCAGTTTTTAATAAATATATATATAGCATAAGAAGGTTAATTAGCTAAGGTAAATGATGAACTAAAACACTACAGTGTGGATTTTTGTTTGTGAATGTCTAGAGATCATTGTTATTACTTGCAATCTTCAGAGTAATGCTTGTTTGGCATAACGTAGCTCCACCACACACAACCAACAAATCCTGTATTGCCTCTGACGAAGGGCTCATGCTTGAAACGTCAGATTTAGAAACTCCTTAAGCCTAAGTTTCTGTTAGTCGAGATCTCTGTCAATTAAAAACGCTCGAATGATAACAGATTCCAGTACAACAGTATTTCATGGAGCTAGTTATTGTTTCTGCGAAACTATGGCGCCATTTTTTTTCTTGCAATTGTGTTACTTCCAAATTTAAACATAGAGCGGTGTTGAACTGAGTATCGTTATGGCAAAATCTTTTCTCAAGGAAATACCTTCGGTTCAATTTTAACCATCAAACACTAAGGGCGGGAAAAAGACAGGGGTGTGGTTGAATCTGATTGGTGAATTAGTACTTTGTATGACGATTGTTTTAAGCTAATCACCAGGTAAAGTTCATTAGCCGAAGTGTTTCTTGTTACTTCGTGCACAGTTATTGTGAGTTTGAAATAAAATCCCTCGGTAATTTGCATTTTAAAAGAAGAAATATGTGGTTCCCGCTGGAAACTGAAATAATCATTTGAATTAATCACACCTAACTAACATTTAAATATTCATCCTCTATATACAACTAACGAGCATGGCGGACGAGTTCAAAACGTTCGAGTTTTTTAGTGGTTTTTCTTCGGCGACGACAGCTCCTTAGTCAGGCTTGTGGACCTAATGTTAAGTTCAAGATTTGCACAAGAAAAAGTTGACTTATGGTTTAAAAAAAGTCAGTCTTGGAACTACGATCGTATGGAACGATCAACGCCAACACGTAGACCTGGGAAAGTCAAAGCTTTGTTCATTGGGAAATACAGCAGAGGCTCGAAAGGTAACTAATATGAATGTAGAAAGGAAACATTTTTGATAAATGGCCGGTGTATATTACAATTGTCTTATATTTTTCGTTGGTGGAAGTTACGTTTGGCTTGATACGAGGACACCATAATTCATCGGTAATTTTGGAGGGGGGTCGCAGAATGTTTGGAGGCCATTCAATTTGGCTTTAATGAAGAGGGAGGCTGAGGTCACTCTAAATTGTTGTCAATTAAGTTAAAACGCTAGAAGCACAAAGTTGTAGTAGTTGTTTAATAACTACATCACAGATTGATTTTTTTTTCAATTTTTTTGCCACATGATAAGTTTATGACCAAGCTTATACCTGCCCCCCTCCCCCGGTCAAAATGGTTGTAAAGTGGCCAAGTTTTTCTCGTCTCGGTCCTTAAAATGGCCAAAAAAAAAGAAAAAGTAGGCAATATTTAGAGCAATGTTTGATCTCACACAAGAGTCTTTGAAACTGTGTGATTGCAGTCGCCGGTAGTTTCTTTACATACCTAAATGTTGTTAGGGGTACAGTTTTCTGTTAGTTTCATTCGCGCATCAAGTGCGATCCAGGAAAGCTTAACGCGTTTTTAATATTTTCCTATTCAGCTTTTTTGAACCTTTCCAGTAATGTTTTAACCTAGTGAAACGAAATTGTGAAATGAAATTTATTTTAAACCCAAGAAAAGCAACAAGAATTGAACAAAAATGTACGCCCAGTGATTCAAGTTAACAAATCTTCCCAATCATGTGGAGCGTTTATTATCGCGTTAAATATTCGTCTTTTCCAAAGCGTTTTTGAAATTTTTAGTTTCGTTTTCTCATCAAACTCTATCATGAACTCCTTATAGGGTTTCAATCAACGCCTTAAATTGTTGCATAGCAACGTCAGGACGAAAACGTTGGGGCTAGGGAAAGATTTCCGTATAACCCCATACTAATAAAAAACAAAGCCGTAATCCCAAGGGTAATTTGTTGTTTTGCCTCTGCTTTCTTTTTTCCAAGAATTGTAAGCATAATGAAGTATGGGGTTATACGGAAATCTTACCGGCTAGTCCCTTCTCGGAAAACCAAAATTCTTCGACCAATAAAGGAATGTCATGAAGTCATTTTCTGCTACAAACTTATTAAAATTCTCTTCTTGCTTTCTTACGAAAAGGATAACATTCTCTTGGCCAACTGTGTTGAACTAAAAAAACTGACAACTCAAAAATATTAATTCCTAGTTCGTCACCTTGAGGGATATTGACGAGATAAAGGTTAGAACTGTATAGCCAGAAATTCATCAGAAATTTTAAGAGGCTCACAATGGCTTTTTCAATTTCAAAACTAATTCTTCAACCTTTGTCTCTTAAGAGTGATTAGTATCTAATTTCTCCTTATCACTTCTGAATCAAAAATTACAGTCATCAGAATTACTCTTGTTTTTCTTGCAAAGGACGAATTTGTTGTAAACTGGCTAATATTTGGAACCGAAAAATTTGTCAACAATCAAAATAATAGTGAAATATTTTCAATCCTTTTGGCCAGGTTAGCAGTGTTTCCTTTTTTGATAAAAATTTATCAGAATTTCTTGGCTCCAGGTATCATTTTCAAGTTATTTCCTCAAGATTTTAGTTGAATTAAATTTTATTTCTCAGCAATTCAGATTTTAATCTCCAAACTTTCCCATTCTCCTGTGTTGCAATTGTCGGCTGAGAGGTCTTTCCACATTACAAATGGCGAAACCAAATGGCTGGTTCAAAGTAGAGGATTATCAAAGAAACATATCTTTTGGGTGGTTCAACAACAACAAGAAAATCACTTTGTCACCAGTTATACAGAGCACATTAAGACTGTAATCAGCAAATTCATTCTCCTCTTTTCACTCGATGAGAAAAGGAAATTTCCAATTATTTAAAAGCTCAATAGATAGAGCGCTGGACTGTTGTGCGGGAGGTCCAGGGTTCGAGCCCTGGCCGGACCAACACTCAAGGTCTTAAAATAACTGAGAAGAATATGCTTCCTTTCTTTAACATCAATAAATGGTTAGATATTTTAGTCTTCTCGGATAGGGACGAAAAAATGGAGGTCCCGTCTCCTGCAGAGTTAGAGGTAGGAGACGTTAATTTCCCACGCACGAGTATACTGTGTGATGGATGTCCTCCCCTGGGGTGGTGGGTTGAGTGGGTGCTTACAGGGCCGTTCTGAAAACCACTTCTGTGAGAACGCACACTGTCTAAAGATTATTATCTATCTATCTATCTATCTATCTATCTATCTATCTATCTATCTAAGCTCTGAACTTTAAAGTTCGCCGTTATATAGAGTATCAACGAAACTAAATAGGCGAATAAACTTTCGTTTACCAGAAGCTTCTTCGCGACAAACATAACTGAAAGTGGCTTCACAATTTCTCTTTCGCTTGAGTTTGACAGGAAATTTTGCCACTGCGTAACTGGTTTAGTTG